TCTCAGACTTATTGGGCAACGATAAGCATGTTGCTTGATTGATAATGCACTACCGACCTCGATGTCATGCTGGATGACATTAGTACCGGGAGGAACGTCATTGAACAAACTTGGAAAACTGTCTATCAGCTTCATTACGTCCTCTCGCTGTTCAAGTGATAGATAGGATAGTTGTTCGGGAAGCGAAGATAAAACCTTAGAGTTTTCAAAACATCCTCCTCTTAAAGCTTCCATAGATACATTCAACACATCGTCCGCAGTATCGGTAGGCAAAGCATAAGCTAGCAATGAAACACGCTCAGTATTTAATTTAGTCACCAGTTCACAAACCAAATTCTCAGTGTTCTCTTTTGGTTCGACACAACAAAAATATGGTTTCAACATATTCACGTGACATAAACGAGTTTTTTGCCTCCGTTCTGGAGTGTGTAAGATATAATCAGTTTCATTCAACTTACTTTTTATCATGTAAGGACCAGAGAAACGCGCAGAGAGAGAAGATCCAAGAATAGGAAACAATACTAGAACTTTCTCGCCTGGCAAAAAATTACGCACAACTGCTTTCCTATCGAAATGTTTTTTCATTTTCTTTTGTGACAGAGAAAGTGCTTCCTTCGCCACAGTAAAAGCATTGTGCAAACGTTCACGAGTACGTGATACAAAATCAAGGACGTTGGTCTTCGCAGACGAACCGTTACAGAGAAATTCCTCCTTTAACATTTTCAAAGGACCACGGACATTATGTCCGAACACAAGCTCTGACGGGCTAAACCCAAGCGAGTCCTGTCGCACCTCACGCACCGCAAATAAAACTAATGGAACTCCATCGTCCCACTCATTCCCAGTCTCTATACAATACTTCCTCAGCGCAGATTTTAATGTTTGGTGCCATAGCTCCATAGCTCCTTGCGACTCTTGATGATAGGCACTTGATAGGCACTTGATACCACGTGAGACACCCCAAGAGCCTTTAACGAAGTACGGAAGACAAGAGACACAAAATTTGAACCCTGATCGGTTTGGACAGTTTTCGGCAACCCAAAAGTTGTAAAAAATGTTGTTAAAGCTTTAGTTACCGTCTTAGCCGTTATGTTCCGTAACGGGATGGCTTCTGGAAAACGTGTAGCCACGACATGATTGTCAACAAATATTGACAACCAGACTTAGCCCGAGGAAGTGGACCCACACAGTCAACTAGAACGCGCTCGAATGGTTCGCCAACTGCAGGAATAGGACAGAGAGGAGCAGGCGGTACAACCTGATTAGGTTTTCCACTGACCTGACAAATATGACATGTCTTACAGTATGTCACGACATCAGATTTTAACCCTGGCCAGAAAAAATGCTGGAGCACCCGGTTATAGGTCTTAGTTATCCCTAGGTGTCCAGACCAAGGATGGTCATGAGCCAGACTTAAAACATGCGTTCGAAATTTCGAAGGCACCACAATTTGATGCACCGCATTCCAATCTTCCCGCTGCTCAGGATTTAACAATCTACTCCATTTACGCATGAGCACATCATTGTTCCTCTAAAACGGGTGGTTACGCAGCGACATTTTTTAATTTTCAACACTCGCACGACATTTTTCTAATGATAAATCATTTCGCTGAGCTTCGATCAGAATTTTGCGCGAGACGGACTAATCAGCGATAAGATCAAAGCCAACAGATGACCTTAAAGTCGTTTTAGACGAGTCTGGAAAATCGGGAAGAACATCAGTTTTCAAAATCTTTAATAAGATAGAATCGCAAAGAGTATTACTTTCCTGAATGTCATGTTTCGCCTGTGCTCGCGTCACAACAGCACTAAACACATTCAGCAAATTTTTACCAAGTGCATCAGCCTGCGAATCATTACACAGGACATCAATGACTTGCACTACCAGCATTACCTTACCTCCAGCTATGTCATTTCCCATGATAAAATCCACACCTTTCACCGGTAAAGAGGGATGAACTGCAACCTCAAAGCACCCAGATGCCAAATCAGAAGAAACCTATACACGATGAAGAGGAACGGGCACAAAACCCATTTCAATACCCTGCACAATCGCACTGGTACTACACCCAAAATATCTGATAATATAAAGGACTGAGACCCTCCGGTGTCACGGAGAATTCTTACAGGTTTTCGGCTTTCGACCTTCTCATTTAACGACACAAATCCATCGAACACGAAAGGCTGAAAACAGCTATCAGGTGTCGCAAGAGAAATTAAATTGCTTGATGGTTAAATCTGTACTTATAACTTAACTAATTCTAGTGTATGCACATGGTCACAGTTTAGATCCAAGGGCGTAGGTTTAGGGGGGGACGCTAGGTACTAGTCCCAATCAATATTTTGAGATGACAAATTTGTCCCCACCAATATTTAGCAAGCTCCTTTGAACTGCTATTTTGATATTTGCGCTGCATTTGGATCTTTGCGCTGCCATTTGGATCGATTCCAACGGCCAGGACGACGACAGTACAAGATACGCCGTAATTTGATTGGCGGCGGGGTATCTGACAGGCAGGCTACACGCGCGGGCCGGGACTACTTTTTGTGCTTGCACTCACTGGCAGCGAGCGAGCGGGTGGTGTGTGTGTGTGTGTGCGCGCGTGACGACGCCGACGGTAAGTTACCAGCCCAGGGCTGTCTCTGCGTGCCATATACAAAGGCCAGAGTAAAATATCTTAATATTCCGGTTGTGGATGTCCCCACCAAAGCTGAGACCAAACCTACGCCCATGTTTAGATCATGAATGCAATGACATTATGACTGACAAAACAATTTAGTTTGTTTGGCTGCTTTTACTCTTGCTGCCACAACCCCCTCAGATTTTTGCCAAGTATGGAGAATAAAAAACAGAAAAGGGGTTGCATAAAAAGATGAACAGGTTTGTTTGTAGAATAAAGTATCAGAGGTTTGAGTAAATCTTTAAAGATTTGTTTAACATTCTTTTTTCATTTATGTAAATGGTGCCTTCTCACCTATAAACATTTGAATAACATTTTTTATTTGACATTTTTTAATTAAACTACAAAAGAGAAGGAATCTATGTAAAGTTTGTATATAAATATGTAGTTGCTTTTATAAAATGGCTGCAACATCAATATGTTGTTATGAAATTCAGGGTAATTTGAAGTGGATTATTTGCATTGACCAATGTATATAAGCAGTGGCGGTTCTAGAGGGAGGCCAGGGGGGGGCCAGTGCCCCTGTGACAAAAAGCTTGGCCCCCCTTGCGGCCCCCCTAAATGTGGAGTTTGAAATAATTTTTACAAAACTGTTTTTTTGCTATCGTTGTGTGTGGATTTGCATTTTCACGTGACAATTCGCATCACATTCGCGGGAATCTCCTTCTTCTCTCCGTGAGAGAGGAGAGAAGAAGAAAGTTGGTAAATGTCAGTTCAGTTGTAAGTTCATTCTTTATGTGCGTATGGGGTGTGCGATGTGTATTGTCTATTATGATATTGTAATCATTGTTTTAACTATGTACGAGGCACTGTGAGCTGACATAGCATTTGTCTATCGTCCTTTCACTGCTGTGTGCAGTTCATAGGTAGGCTATGTCCCCAAATTAGTTTTTGTCTTATATTTATATCATATTATGTTCTTATATTAGAATATCACATCAGCAAGAGTGCCGTTTTCCCGTGCACAATTGCAACTGTGATATTTATGTTATACAACAGTTAAATTAACAATAAGTTAACATTGGGAGTAACTTTTTAGACACAATATTGTCAATATTGTTTGTTTTCCCTTTATTTCGCCGACTAGAATTTCATTATGAAACCGTAGCAGAGTCTCAATATGCAACACAGCGAGGATTTCTTGACTGAAATCCGCGTTTTGAACGAATCACTTGCTTCTTTCCCGAATAAATCAGCCGTTTGAACAAATCGGTTGAATGAATGAATCCCTCTTACAGGGACTTGCCGCCGTCTACTGGCGGTTTTAGTTTCATATTTAAAGTATCCTTTAATTAAAACGTTAAAATTAGAAATAATTTCATTTTTAAATATTGATTTAAAAGAAAATCTCATAGCTTTATTTATGCAATTGTAAATGGAGTGTAAATATATTAATGCCACTTCTGTGTCACCTCTGCACTGCAAAGATGGATTTTGATTGAATTAATTAATTTGACTGGTAACAGTGGTACTGTATAATTATTGTATAATTAAGTATTATTGTATAAATAAGTATAATTACTGTATAATTTGAATGTTAGTATTTGACATGAAAGGTGATGCATAACTCTAAATAAGTTTAGAAAAAATGTCCATATATAGGTGAAAATGCCCCTGGAAATCAATTTAAGGTGGCAAATATTGCCCCTTAATTAAAAAATGTATTTCTGTCACTGCTGTGAACTGACCACTGCATAGAATATGAAAAATATTAATATCTTCGTGAGTCAGCTGTCAACAACAGGCCTAAACCAGCCATGGCACCAGCACAAAAACACAATCAGTAAAATATTATCTAATTATTAACAAAATGTTGAAAATATTGAAATATATTTTTGTCAATATTGCACACCCCTAATGTACGGTATTAATTTTGATTTCTTTAGGTCTTAAAAAGCCTTAAATTTGACTTTAAAAAGTGTGCAGGAACCCTGTAAACGGTTAGACATATCAAGTCAGTTATTTTCAGTAAATTAATTAATAAGCTTCTTGGTCCCCATTGCTTTTGCTCTATAGTTCTCAAAATGAAGAGAAAGAAGGACATCATGTATATTACAGTTACTGTGACTAATACTGAATATGTAATGCAAATGTAAAAATATAATGGAAATGCAAATACATTGTTGAATGATTATAAACACGGTATTTTGCCTGTTAATGCCTGCAGTAGTGCAGAAAATGATATGACAACAATAAGGTCTAAATGTAACTGGCTCCTCTAACAGTACAACTGGCCGCAGCTTGGCCCCCCCAGTTGAAATGGGCTAGAACCGCCACTGTATATAAGAGTTATGTAAATATTAGTTACACATACACAATTTCAGATTCCAACTCCAATGCCATTAACCAATGTACAAAATGTAATATAAGACAATTGTATGTGTTCATTTGCCATTTATTTAGTAGAAATAAAAAGTGCATCATTACACCTTTGTTCAGTCTTTAAATTAAAACCAAGTGCAAGTATTTTTCTTTGTAATATTTTTGTGAGGCTATTGCTGATCTCCTTTGTTCTAATTCCATAGATAAGTGGATGTAGAAGTGGAGGGATCAGGATAAAATGAATTGACATAAACACATTAACTTCTTTTGAAAGACTGAAATTAAATCGATTGTATATCACAGAAAAAAGAGAGGCCAATGAAAAATTTATAAAAGTAATCAAGTGTGGTGTGCATGTTTTTAGAGCCTTCTTTCGGGCATTTTCTGATGCATTCAAAGAGACAAATAATATCCGCACATATGATAAGATGACAAAGATTAGAGGTAGAACCACAAAAGCAAGTACCAGACATATGCCATATAGATCTCCCCAGGTATTTTTGGCACAGGAGAGATTAACAACGGCCAAATTGTCACAAAACAACTTGTTTATTGTATACCTGCATGTAGGCAACCTTGATGTAAGGTACACCTGTACAGCTAGAGAGCAGATAGGAACACAGTACACAATAAAAAGCAGAAGTCTTATTTTACCAGGAGTCATGATATTGTGATATTGTAGAGGCTTGCAAATTGAAACATACCTGTCATATGCCATAAGTGTCAGTATTGCATAAGCGCATGTTCCATAAATATTAATAAAAAATACTTGCAGAATACAGTCAGTATACAGTATATCTTTCATATCATCAACAAGATTCTCCATTATTTTAGGAAGTACAGCAGATGATCCAATTAGTCCATTAATAGCTAGGTTGAATAAAAATATGTACATGGGCTTATGGAGAGATGTGTCCAAGCAGATCACCAGCATCAGTGTTACATTTGCAAAAACAGTTGTAAGATAGACTGCAAGAGAGATTACAAAAACTCCATAATTAAGAGCACCAGGTGGTCCATAACTGGTAAAAATCAGAGTGATGTTCAAACTTGGCAGAATCATTTTCCTGGTGAAGAGAAAGAAAGGCATTTCACTTTAGAACAAATATGCAGTATACAATATTAACTGAAGGATTATATTCTGAGATATCTATTTACCTAATGTTTACAGACTTTCTTGTCTTCTGAGGATCTGAGCTGCTGTAGCTTTATACTGTTTTATTCTACAAGGCCCACCTCCAGTGGATGTCATCTGCTTAAAGGCCCTACTCCCATTTTTTTTTTCAATTAAATAATAATAATAATATTGTTATTATCAGTATATATCAGTGTTATTAAAATGGCGGACCACGGCTAGGTTCCATCCGTACCGAGAGACATAATTGTGTCATTTTACCGTTTCTACAGATTAAAGTCAGCAGCGGGTCAAAACAACAGAGCGGTTCACACCACAAGCACTCAGGGTTGTTTATGGTAATGATCTTTCGGAGCTATATCTATAATATTTTTTTCTAGAGCCAAAAGTGCTTTATTCAACCCCTTTCCACTCCGTAGGCATTGCTTCTCTCTCTCCCTCGCTAAAAACATAAAGCACTACATTAAGATCTGCAGATGAAGGGGTTGTTTTAATAACAACAGTAGCAGAAACATGGAGAGCCGAAAAATAGACACTTTCGCTAAAACACTGGATAAAATGAGAATGCAGCTAATACAATTATTTTTATCTATCATACAGATGACTGACCATTTAACTAAACAAGACAAGATAATATGTAGCGTCTTTAGATGTTTTTTTCCCATTCATTTAGCATTATTAATCAGCATATGAGCATATGTTTAATATGGTACATACTGCTCTGGATCTAAATGTCCAGTTTCAAAAAATGTATTTGTTGGAGCATAGTTGTCACGCTTTAGCTGTGTGAGGCACGTTCAGGAAGACGAAGAAGATGGATCAGGATTAAACAGTATTTATTCACGAACAAGACACGTACCAAACTTAGCAACTGTGTTGACGAGAACCGACAAGCGAGAACTGAAACTGTGGAGACTATACACAGACAAATGAGGAGACTAAGTGACAACAGGTGCACATGGTGAGTGATGATGTCTGTGATGAGGATGATGACAGGTAACAGGTGAAACCGACTAACAAGGAAACACATGGTGCACAAACACAGAAGGCAAAACAAAGTCCAAGACGGGTGTCACCATGACAGTAAGCCCCCTCCTGGAAGGCACAGCCTCGTGCCATAATGAGAGAGATGAAGAAGGGAGGTGGGGGCTTGGGAGGAGGAGGAGCAGGCGAAGGGCTGGAAACAGGAGTGGGCGAAGGATTGGAGAAGGCAGGCAGATAACCTGGAGAGGAAGGGCTTGGCAGAGATGTGATAGGTCCAGAGGGAAGGATTCTGATCCATGGTGGAGTCGATGGAGGGAGGAGCCATGGAGGCTGAAGGGCTGAGGACTTCAGGGCGGTGAGTGACGGAGGCGGAACCAGTGGGAGAGGATGACAGGGTGGTCTGACGGGCCATGGTGAAACTGAGGATTCAGAGGGACATGGGGAAGCCGATGGCTCTGGCGACTGAGGTGAAGGCGGGGACTCAGAAGGGCGTGGTGGAGACAGAGTGACAGATAACCAAAGAGGAGCTGAAGGGATCAGGAGTCCAATGGAGCCGGGGGGGCGAAGGGATGAGGTGGAGCAAGAGGAGTGCAGTCCAGAGGTGAGGGCAGGTCGACGAATGACCATGGCGCATCCGGGGGGACGAGGGAGCCTGGTGGTGCTTGAGCACTGATGGTCCACGGTGGAGACAAGGGAGGTAGGAGCCAAGGCTGAGTCAGTGGACCGATGGGCCGATGTAGAATCCTGGCCTCTGCGGGCGGAGTAAAAACCCAGGGATCCCCTGACCACGATGGCGCTGAGGGCTGGTAGTACCACAGCAAGCCCCCCTTTCCAAAGGTTTTCTGAGGGTGAGATGCGGGACTAACAGTGGGCAGCAGAGATGATGATGAGGGCTGGAAGACGGGAGGAGGTGGGAGAGGGAGGTTGGGCGGGAGTTCAGGGTTGTGGAAGACGGGGACTGGAGTCACACTCAGCACTCAGCTTCCAGACTCAGGTTGAAGACGGGAGTCGTTTCCAGACATGGGGTGAAGGCTAGGGACCGAGGCGGGGTGGCGGCCATCTTGACTGAGGGCTCAGGAGGTGTGGCGGCGGCCATCTTGACTGAGGGCTCAGTAGGCGTGGCTGCAGCCATCTTGACTGAGGGCTCAGGAGGCATGGTGGCGGCCATCTTGACTGAGGGCTCAGGAGGCATGGCGGCGGCCATCTTGACTGAGGGCTCAGGAGGCATGGCGGCGGCCATCTTGAGATAAGGCTCTGGAATGGCGGCAGCCATCTTGGCTGAGGATTCTGGAACGGTGGCTGCCATCTTGGGACCAGACTCTGGAACGGCAGCCATGAAGGGACGAGGCCCTGGACTCTGGACGAAGATAGGAGGCGTGGCGATGAAAATGGCTGGTGACAGTGGTTGAGCGGCGATGTCATCATCAGCCTCACCCACGGTGAAGGCTGAACCGCTCAACCGCAGCACATGATCCAGGTACGTACCCAGGATCACGGCTGCTGGAGCTTGCTGGTGCAGATGATCGTTCCAGTCCGTACCAGAAAACAGTCTTTAAGACGTCATCTGCCCAGTCAAATCTCGAGGAACCTCTCTACATATTTCTCCAGCAGTTGGCCATCCTGGAAACAGGTTACGAGCCGATCTGCGGGGTTCAGCAGGGTACGGAGAATGCCCATGTTCTCCTTTATTCAGTCGGTCTATAATTTCCAACTTTTTGGGTAAGGTCGGTTCTTCTGTCACGCTTTGGCTGCGTGAGGCACGTTCAGGAAGACGAAGAAGACGGATCAGGATTAAACAGTATTTATTCACGAACAAGACACGTACCAAACTTAGCAACTGTTTTGACGAGAACCGACAAGGGAGAACTGAAACTGGGGAGACTATACACAGACAAATGAGGAGACTAAGTGACAAGAGGTGCACACGGTGAATGATGATGTCTGTGATGAGGATGATAACAGGTAACAGGTGAAACCAATTAACAAGGAAACACATAATGCACAAACACAGAAGGCAAAACAAAGTCCAAGAGTTTGTAAATAAAAAGGAAGAAATAAAGACACAATTATTAAACTTATTTAACTTAGTTCTCTTTCGAAGTAGAACTTTGACACCCAAAAGATGCCCAAAATATTTAAGATATTAGGTTAAACTTATTTGGCTTGCTGTCAACTTAGGACAAACTTATTTGGTCACTGATAAGAGGTTTGATAAAGCAGCTTCAACTCGAGCTCTGACTAAACGTAGGATATGATTACGAAGGGCAAGGTACCTAAGATGAAGTTGGAGTATGGGGAGGTGGAGGGATGCTGGAACAGCTGATGCTAGAGAGAGGTAAGCGGCTGCTTATATACTCTGGCTGTTGATTGAAAGATTAGATGGTCTCGCTCCTCCCTAACTTACGTTTAAGAACTTCATAAAGTTCAGCCGTCCATCAGTGGACCACTCCCAGCAAGGGGAACAAAAAGGTTTTCACGGTTGCTTGGGCATAATACATGGCTGCAAAAAAAACCTGCAACATAAAAGGAGTGAACTTCATTGACAACTTCAATCTTTTCTGGATTTAGAGATAACTCTTTAAACAGGATGGCCTCCACCCAAACAAACTTGGTGCAAGAGTGCCAAAGGACAATATCTACTTCTCCCTCCATCATCCTTTAGCAGTGTGTGCCAATTTACTCAATCTAAATGGCATAGCTGCTTACCACATTCCTTTGGTTGGAATGTCTTTGGGGAGAAAGACGTTTCCTCCATGGTACTCTGAGGCTGAGGCCTGCAGCTTGTACCAGGGTGCCGACATGGGATCTGGCCATTGCCCTGCAAGGCCTATCCCTGGCTCCTTTCGAGCCTATTGAGGAGGTTCCGGCCAAGTTTTTGACCTTAACCCTCTGGGGTCTAAGGTGTTTTTGGGGTCCTTGAGATGTTTTGGCATGCCCTGACATTTGTGCTTATAAACATATTAATGGCAAAGTTGTCATTACACTCTATTTAGCACAAACAGGGCTACCATAATATGTGAGCAACATGTATGTACATGTTTGTATTTTTGAGAGAATATTGTTTATACATGGTTATTGAAAAAACAAAAACTTAAAGTTTCTGAAATAAGGCCACACAACACATACTACATATGTGTCCACAAGACTTTTGACTAATGGATGTTGTCGCCTTGAGTTTTTGCTTTAAAATGATCTGAAAATCATCCTGCCTAATCATTTACACAAAACAATACATTGATTTAAATTTTGTAAGACACTTTTTGTTTGGAAAGGCAATATGCGAGGGGGCGTGAATGATCGTGAATGATCATGAATAATGCTCTGATTCACACCTGAGAAGACAATGACCTGCCTAATGAGCTGCATAATGAGCTGCATAATGAGCCTTTCACACAGGTGTCACTGGGTACCACAAGAAAGAATGCGAGGACAAAATAAATAAATATATATACAGAATTGGTTCAAAGTTAGTTGAAAACATCTTGAAAAAATGTCTTTTTCCACAAATTTTGTATGCGTGCAAATTGTATAATATCCAGGGTAAACATTTCTAGTAATTGTGCAGTTAATTCACATACTGTATTTTCAGAAAGTTTTGGAATATGTGTCCTCCCCCCAAATTTGTCAATAATAAAACACAATAAAAAAAGGTTACAATTACAACAAAAATTACAATTTTAACAATAATAATAATAACAATAATAATAAGTTTATTTTATATAGCGCCTTTCTCAAACCCAAGGTCGCTTTACATAGTGTGAAGGCAAGTATACACAACAGCAACAACCAAAACAATACAACAAAGACAAGTTATCTGTATTAAGCTATGAGTTTGGTGTGGAGAAATGATCATTAAACAAAAAGGTCTTGAGATGAGCTTTAAAGAGGGGAAGTGAAGGACAGTCACGAAGAGGTTGTGGGAGGCTGTTCCAGAGTTTGGGGGC